CCCTCTATGGCTGAAACTTCAGGCAAAGTAGCTGATGTCTCTGTGCCTCAGTTTCCTCGCCGCGACGTGGAAGCGGAACACGGCTACCTCCTAAGAGTGCTGAGAAAATGGATAATGCACGCGAAGTGCTTGAGCCTGCGGAGCCTGGAGGGTAGCAGGTACCCCATCCATGTAAATTGCCCTTCCCTGAACCCCAGAATCTGCCGAAGATTCACAGATAAGACTCAAGGGAGGAGAGAAGCGTCCAGATCGGCTGGTCCCGCAACCCCGGGGATAGGGGCCTCACTCGGAGCGCCCTCGCAGAAGGCCACCTGGGCTCTGCAGGGACGCGCTGAGTGTGCGCACAGGGGCGGCAAGGACTTGGGAGTTTCCATTTGAATTCTGGCTGCTGGAGCCCAGCCCCCTCCAGAGTGCGTCGCTTCACTGGGCAAGAAGCGGCGGCTGCCATTCACCATGGTTCTGCCCTGCTCAACACGATAGCTACTCAACCCTCTGGACCCTGTCTGTCTTTTTTCGGCAGAGCATCCGCAGGTCCCTGACAGCTCCCACATGGCACCGGGTCCTCAGCCCCAGCTCCTCGGCCCCTCCGAGGCAGGGCCATCTGCCAGCATCCTCGCTGGGAGCCCAGCAGGCTGGCGGCCCGTTCAGCACATTCAAGCAGGGGAAACCTGCCCTTTTTGACTGCACCAATTTTGTTGTTTTTTAAATTAATGGACCCTTTTCTTTTCTCCCAAAGACTCTCAGGGCTCCATGTAATCACCAGGCATTGATACAACATAAACTGAACTGTTGGCCAATTCATTCGCACTGGGTTCTCAATCCCGGTGGTACTGTGCAGATGGAACAACAGTCTCTGCAGAAACGGCCTCCTTTTGCCCCCACAGAAAGGCCCCCGGGTTTCCGAGGTGCGCAGCCGCAGTACCTCAGGTGAGGAGCTCACCGCTCCACTACACGCTCACCCCGCCGACCGCAAGTTTCACCTTCTCCGTGAGTCTCTCCTTCCGCTCTCCCACAGCTCACAAGGGAGGCAGCAGGGGGACAGGCGGGGACCCTGGCCGGTCCTCCTCAGACACCCTCTGCAAACCTGGCTGGAGTGTGCGCCAGGGTCGGGGACAGCTCCTGGCAGGCCTGCGACATGGAGCAGCAGCCCTCGAGTGCACCGTGCGCTCTAATCTGGAAATGGCAGTGGCCACGCCAAGACGAGAAGGCACCAGCTGCAGCCTCAGGCAGCCCAACGTGTCTGCGCCCAAGGAGCAAGGACACCTCGGGAGCGTCCCAGCCTCGCTCCGGGAGTGACACCCAGCCTGCGCACTCCACAGCTGCGACACCCGGCTCAAGGAGCCTGAAGGCCCGCCACCAGGTCGCTGAAGCGCACGCCCCGGTGGGGCCCGTGGGAGGGAAACGGCGCCTGTTAGCCCTGGTGATTTCCACTGCGGATTGAACACCCCATGGATCGCGCGGTTCTCCGGGAGCGGGCTCTCCTGGGTGGCTCACGGAATACTTTCCACACAGACATCCGTGCGCGCAAGGAGATAGTGCACTCCGACGTGCCCGCGCCCGAGACGGTGGCTCTGTGTCTCCCCGCTGCACCCCCCAGAGGGGCCCCGGGGAGCAGAGCCGGCGGAGCGGGAACCAGCAGCCCTTTCGCTCCCACTTCTGCTCGACGGCCTGTCAGCCTTGAGATTTGGGGTAGATGACGTAAACCCTGGGAGCTCCCGTCTCCCCATGTGTGAAGGAAGGACACCTCTCGAAGGCTATGTCGTGCCCAGTGGGTGTGCCCCAGTGTCTGGCCGGCAGCTGGTGACACTGGCTCCCCTTCCGTCCCTCCAGCCTCTGCAGCCACAGGTCACCCTTTCCGCTGGCGCCCTGCATGCCCTGTCCTGTGCACCTCAGGATCCTGCGGAGCCTGGAGGGTAGCAGGTACCCCATCCATGTAAATTACCCTTCCCTGAACCCCAGAAGTACAGAAAATCAACCTGTACTTAGGGTTTCATTTGTAGGGATCTTACCTTTCCATCTATTTTGTAAACTCTGCAATAACAGGAACCTGTCTTAGACCTCAATTCTTACCAAAAAAAGAACCCTCCCTCCCCACCCCATGAAAACAGAAGGCCCTCTGGGCTCTGAAAGGCGAAGCTGAAGAAGCTACTGGCCGAACCTCTAGCTCGGAATCCAGGGCCATCAGTGGCAGCGAGCCTGAGAAACAAACAGGCCACACAAGCCAGGTGGACACCGGGAAATCCCTCTGCAGTAGAACCAACAGGATGGAGATACACTGAGATCGATCGATCGACCTTTCTATCTATGGTGAGACGTTTATTTTGAGGAACTGGCTCACATGATTAAGGAGGCTTGGTAAATCCAGAATCTGCAGGGCTGGCCAGCAGGCCGGAGGCCCAGTGGAGAGTCACTTCCAAAGGCCGCCTGCTGGCAGGAGTCCCTCTTCCTCAGGGGACTTCAGTCTCCTGCTGCTGAGGCTTCAACTGATTGGGAGCGGCCCACCCACATTATGGCGGGTCTCTGCTTTACTCGAAGTCCACTGATTTAAACGTAAATCTCATCTGAAAAATATCTTCACAGAAACATGCAAAATAGTGGTTGAGCAAATATCTAGGCACCGTGGCCCAGCCAAACGGACCCCTGCAAGGAGCTGTCACACCCTCTGAGGCCTGAGGTTGGGGGGAGCCAGAAGGTCCAGGTCGGTGGCGAGCGAAGGCAGGCGCAGAACAGGGAGAGCTGGCCGCAGTCTCTTTATGGCTTAGCAACCAGGCTTCTCCAATGAAGAAGTCGTTTAGAAGAAGAATGGATTTGACAAACTAAAATGGAGAAGGTATTCATGTGTACACAGCCCATATGTGACGTTCACAAAGAGGGGAAGGGTAGCTCTTGCAGTCGAAGGAACCTCACTGAAGATTTTGCCCCACCCCTTCATGCTGCAGGTAAGGACAAAGGTCCAGGGCAATTTTGGGGACTGGCTAAGTTCGCACAGGAAGTGGCAAGGGTGGGGGCTGTTGCTGCCCCTCAGGACCGAGGAGTGAAGGGGCTGCCTGGGGCCACAGGACAGAGGCAGCACCACCTCGGCAAGCCTGAGCCACGTCATCCAGGAAACCGTCCCTCGCAGGCTGACGGGCTCCAGGAGGGGCAGGCGTGACAGCTCCTGCTCTGTCCTGTGTCTTGCACCCCATGTCCTTGCCCAGGCTGCTTGCGGGCTGCCTGCAAGCTGTCAAACCGGGATTAGGACCTGGAGAGCTGAGAGGGACGTGACACTGGAAAGACAATTGTCCCCAGGCCACATTCCTCCTTCTTGGTGTCTCCTGCCTCCTCAGTGGCACAGGTGTCCCTCCCTGCTCTGCTGCCCCAGTGGCACCTTCAGCTGGACCCAGGAACAAAGGGGCCAACGGAGGCGGGAGGCGCCTGCTCCAGCCCAGCCGTGGGACAGCCTGCAGCTGCTGGGTGGCCGCTCCCTCCCCAGCACTGTGCACAGGTGTTTGGAGGTTGCCCCTGGCAACAGCGGAGAGCCAGGCTGCTGCTGACTGGGGTCTGCCAGCTTCAGTTCTGGGTCCTCAATACAAACTCTCACACTGCTGCAAAGCCTCCTAGAATCCCAGAGTTTTAGAAATAAAAGGAAACTTGGCAGTGCCAACCCAATCTTTTTATTTTATAGGTAGGATTTTATAGATTTTGAAGACCCCGGGAAGAGCCCACACTGAGAGAGGGATGTGGGGCCTGGCTGGGTAGTGGACAGGCCTTCATAGTTGGTGTAGTTGAAGCTCAGGGGGCTGAGCTTCACCCCCTGCCGGTGGGCATGAGTTCTAGCTACTCGCCAAGTTCACGGCCAAGGAGATGGTGCTGGGCGCAGACAGACACACGCTCAAACACGACTCAAAAGCCACGCAGCATTGCCTGGCACAGCGCTGCGGGTGACAGGCACTCCAAGCGCTCATTCGCGGAATGCCTGTTCCTCAGGAGGGGTCATACGAAGTGAACCTGACTCCCCTGTCCCCATGCAGTGGCCCTGCAAAGGACACTACACAGGTGGCAGGGGTTACTGGAAGCTCAGAGTGAGTCAGCTCTGGGACTGGTCTGCTCCGGCAGCTGCCTGACGCCTGCCCACAGGCTGCCTCAGGTGGGGGCCCAGCTGGGGACCCCGGCCCAGCCCTAACGGAAGGCCACCAGGCCCGCAGGCAGCAAGCAGGACGGTGCCTCTGAGCGGAGATGTCTACCGAGAACACGCACACTTTGCGTGCCGTGACTCTGAGCGAACGCAGTGCGGAGCGGCTTGGCTGAGTCTTCCTAGGGATCTGGGGCTGCAGCCAGGCAAGGGCACCAAGGCCGTGGCCGATGGGGAAGGTGCGGGTAGCAGGACAGGAGAGACTAGCCCAGGCCGGAAGCCGTCCCTTCGCGCCCCCGCCGGCTGTCACCATCCCCCGCCTTCTCCTTCTGAGCCCTGTACCCCAGCTGCTCCTGGCAGCTCAGACCCTACCACGTTTCCTGGAGCAGAGCTCGGCCACTTCTTAGCAAACACGTGCCTGCGTCGACCGGGAGCGATCGGAGCAGGGGCTCAGAGGGCCACGCTCCTGGCGGGGCTGATTTTACCAGCGGGCAGGGGTGGGGGCGGGGGCGTCCTCAGGACCAGAAGGCAGGACGGGGACCTCGCAGGCGTGGGGCCTTCTGGATCCACCGCCAGGGCGCTCTCCAGAGACAAGGTGGTCGCCTCTTATGCCCCATTGTTTTGGTGAACACGGCTGACCCGGAGAGGGCCTGGGTCTTGATCAGTGTTTACTGCGGCTATTTAATCAGAGGGGCTGTACCGGGTAGGAAGAACGGGCAGGGGGCTGCCCCACTGCCCCAGGGTTCAGGGGAGCGGCGCAGCCCCAGCCTCAGCTGGGTCATCCGGGTGACGCACAACGAGTAGGGGAGCGGTTCCTGGGTCACCCAGTGGGCCCAGGGCCCCGACTCTCCCTCGGCCCTCGGCCCCCGGGGCCCCGCCCAGGGCTCACCTGGATGATGAAGCCAGTGGAAGAACACTGCCTGACCCACAGGCTGAATTTCCGCTTTTTCCTCTTTCGCAGTTCCCGCTCCGTGCACGTGGCAATGAATACGGGGTCTTCGTCAATCAGGGGTTCATGTAGCACCTGCCGGCAGAGGGAAAGCTGTGGTTCGCAGGGAAAGCGGGGTGAGCTCAGGGGCTCGTCAGACGCGGGCTCAGGCCTGTCTCTGCCTTTGACCAGCTGTGTGACCCTGGCTAAGTTACTTTACCTCTCTGATCCTGACTCTCCTCTTCTACCAAAGGGTAATATCAGTATCTGCACCAGTGTTTGGGGGAGAAGTAAGACACTGGATGTAATGAATTTAGCCCAGCCCTGACATAACAGGTACTCAGTAAACAGAAAACTCACTTGGTAGAGGGATCCCCCACAGGGATCCTGGCCTCTCGCTGGGCACAGCTGGTGGCCGACACCCACTTCTTCTCATGAAAGACCTTTCCACTCACGGATGATGGCTTCAAGTGCCAAAAAGTTCTCTCCCTCACTGACTCAAAGTTTGCTTTCGTTTAACTTAAACCTATCGTTCTGACTTCTGCCCTGTGAATTCGTTTAGGTGTTCAAGATTCAACGGGGCTCTCACGTGGGCCTACGACCTCTTTCCCTGGGTTCCTGGGATGACCCAGCTTCCCTGCTGCCACGACCCGGCCTTGGGCTCGGTGCCGGTCGCCACGTCCTTTTGACATGGGATCCTAAGGCGACTGTAAAAATCACTTTTATATTTTAGCTTCTTGATAACACAGTGATAAGAAGTTTTCAGTGACAAGACACTAAAGTAAAAAGAAATTGCATTTAAAAATTAGGCTCCATAGGGTGGCCAAAATTCTGTCTCTTCAAGCTAAGCTTCTTGGGGAGATTTTCAGGTGAATTTTAGGACCCTGCTCCACTTCCCAATCCTAACTCAAGCTTAATTATGAATCGGTGTGCACGCATGTAGTCCGCTGAAATGAAGAGTGTAGGAATCACAGGATTCCAAGAACTCAGCAAGGTGCTCTGGGTCAGGGGCCAGTTGGGGTCTGGCCCTCTCTCTCTGCCTATTGTTCATAAAGTTTTATTGGCACCTGCCACGCTCGTTCACTTATGCACTGTGGATGGGTGCTTTCGGCCTGCAATGGCAGAACTGACACATTGAAACAGACCTTATGGCTCACAGAGTCCAAAATTTTACTCTTTGGCCACTGACAGATAAAGTCACCCACCCTGGCTCTCCACCAGCACCTTTCCGACTTTGGAACAAACGAACTAGTCACCCAGGAACTTACTAAAATGCAGAGTCTGATTCAGTAAGTTTGGGGCAGGGCTCAAATGTCTGCCTTTCCAACCTGCTCGCAGGTGGTGTCAGAACTTGCTGGCCCAAGGGCAGAATGGAGGTTAATACTTACCATAGCCTTCCATTCTTTCATTAATGCTACCTGGAGCCCATGAAAAAACCATAACCGCTGGTAGCATCCATTTTTGGTTGTGTGCACTGGTCTCCTCGGCCTTTCTGTTGCTGGAAGGGGTACAGGCCCGGCCTCCCTGTCTCCCGCTCATGGGGGGCTGCCTGGTGAGGTGCCGCCCAGGCCCTCGCGCCTGCTTCCTGAACTCCCCGGCTGCGTGTGGCTCGCAAACCATCAGAGCCCCACTGGGAACCACTCTAGCAAAACAGGCAAGCGCCTGGCGCGGGGGAGCGAAGGGCAAGGGAAGACGCAGAGGTGCGCTTCGCGGCCCCTCTCGCCCTCTGGAAGCCGGCGTGCCTCCACCCCACTTGCATTGAACGTGTAATCAGTTGCAAATCACATGCCTCAGCAGCGCAGAAGGGCCAGCAAGGGTTCCTGGGCCTCGCTGCCGTCTCCCTCTTTTCTATCGGCAGTAAATGAATTCTGAGCGGGTCATCACTGAACGCAGCCCAGAGCAGTGCGCCCATCCCAGCTCCAGACTCCGCCAGGAAACCTCGTGCCCTTCCTCCTCCTCCTCCACTGCTGCCACCAGACTGCAGGCTGCCGTCAGCATTTCCATCAGCAGCTGTACTTCCCGAGCATCTCCGTGTCGGACAAGCTCATTCTGGGGTGCAGCAGTGGGCAGAGTAGGGGAGAGATGAAGCGCCCCTTTATGCATTTGCACAATGCCTCCTGAATGAAGTCTAATTAACCTGGCCCCGATTGTGAGGAAATGCGGTGCCTCCCCATTTTGCCTGTGTGTGTGTGTGTAGGCGCATGCGCGTAGGCATGCACATGCACACACAGCTGCTTGGGTTACTGATGGATTCTGGGAGCTGTTAGGTTTCTGAAGACTCTGTAAAAGTTATCACTAATCCCAAAGGGTCACATTTGCGGGAGTCGAAGGCCTCAGGGATTACAGGGCGGAGGGTGCGTGGCATCTGCGAGGTGAGTGCTGTGTGCACCGCGGTCATGTGAGTGCCGGGCAGAGGATGCAGAGCAAGTCTACCCCCCAGCTGACGAGGGATGGAGGAGAGCAGGTGAACCTGAGGCCCTCACCAGGCAGCAGGACGGCCCTGCCAGAGAGCCCCAAGGCTGCGCGCGGCGGGCGCAAACCTGCAACCAAACTCACTCCTGGGTCCCCTTCTCCTTGAAGGGAATGTTCCAGAGCCCAGCCGGGGGAAAGCTGGGGAACCTGGAAGCTTTGGGGCACCCAGCTTCTCCAGGATGAGAAAAGGACCCCTCCTCCCTGTCTTAGAGGAGAATGAAGGCAGGAACCGAGCGTGATGTGGCCTATGCCAGAGGCCCAGGGAAAAGCCCCTGGCAGCCCTGTCTGCTGACACAAGGCCGGGAGCGAAGAGGAAATCCCATCTGATTGATTACCAGCCAACAGGAGCGGCTCCAGACACCTTGACTCTCCCTCTGCCTCACGTCCCCACCTGTCGGGCGGGGTGCCCTGGGCGTTTATTTGCCCCCAGACTCACTTCTGTCCCTTCCTACCCTGTGCTGTGGCCCGGAAGCCAACCTCTTACAAACGGCGCCCGGCGTCTGCGAGGCCACATGGGAGGCAGGAGCGAAGACGGGAGAGCCACCCCGACCCTGCGCACATCCTCTGGGCCGGGCCCCAGGCTGCGGCCTCCACGGCGCCCCCCGGCCCCGCCCCCTCTCCAGGGCTCTTTCACCACCCTGGCCACACCCGGCACCCTCGCCGCCCCCCGCCCCCCATCGCCGCGTCCGGCCCCCTTCCCCCTCCTTTCTAGAGCCCTTGTTTCCTGCTGGGACCCTGACCAGCAACAGGGCACTAGGTGGAAAATGGCAGCAAGAAGAAAACAGAACCTCACAGATACAAAGGTGAAAACTGAGTACAAAGTGGGGGGAAAAAAACACAAGGAGAAAAAAAGGCCTACCCACATGGCCAGAGAGGCCTGCCCCACACAGAGCTCCGTCCCAGGCCCCTCCCCTCTCAGCCTCGGCAGCTGGAGGCAAAGCAGATGTTTGCAGCCAGAATATAGCGACCGGGGTCTCCCTGTCAACCTCCACCCCCCGCCCCCGCCACACCGCCCGTTTGAGTGTACCATGGAGGGGACACGCTGCCTCCTAAGACGCCTGCCCCCCAACAGGGCAGGACCCCCGCTCAGGGCTCAGGGCGGCTGCTGGGCCCCTCGGGGCACCCAGGCCTGGGGCTGAGAGGGGGCAAGTCCACACCTCTCAGGCTTTGGCTCGTGGGCACAGCTGGGTCCCTGAGGGCTGCCCCAGAGTGCTGGGGACACACAAGTGCAGTGGTGGCCCGGGATTTAGGTATCCGAAGGCACAGGCCACAGGCGGCCGGCACAGGCGGGCACGGCAAACACGAGCCCATGAGGGATGAGGCCTCCCTCACCCAGGAGCCGAGCGGCCTGAGCTCCAGGCTGAGACACCGCCGTCCACACGGCTGGTTGTGCGATTCTCAAGAGACGCGGAGGCGCCGCGATGCAACAGCCTACGGCCTTCTGCAGCAGCTCGTCACCAGCCCAGGGTGTCTGTCCCCAGCATGGCCGGAGTCCCGGTTTTCCCTTCATCCAGCCAACAGGTCTCTGGTTTGGTTCATTTTCCATCAAACGAATATTCAGGGAAACACACAATAACGTGCCAATCTGTACTCAGCCCTGCAGGGCCTGTGACAAGGATGAGCTTGCGACCCCAAAAGCCCCCACCTCCCGGTGGGAAAGTAAGTGACATCATTGGGAGACAGGACAAAATGACGTTCGGCTGCCCTGTAAATGAAGGGGGCGGTGGTGGGTGCAGCAGAACAGGAACCAGCGTGGGCTGGACCTTACAGTGGCCGAGACCGGACGCGTTTGTAGAGGCAGAGAGAGGAGGGAAGCTTCCCGGCAGTCAGAGCGTCGCAAACACCTGGAAAGGAGGGTGGGCCCAGCGGGTTCACAGGACAGCAGGGGAGCACGCTGAGACCATTCAAGGCTCCCGCAGACCTGGTCTGGGCGGATCGCCCCCCACACACCCCTGCGGTTCTCACCTGCCGGGGAGGTACGGAGTTAGGGGAAGGGTCTCAGAGAGATAATCAGAGAGGACTTGAGGTTTGTTAAGAAGGCCCTTAAAGAATAAGCACAGAAGAGGAGGTAGGCTGATGGTCTGTGGAATGTGCACATAAAACTGAAATAAATTTTCGTCTCCACACAGAACAGGGAATTGGGGCCCCATGTGCCAAGAACTTCCTGAAGTTTTAGCTGCAGATTTTCCAGGAATGAGCCACCTCCTCAGTGCACTAAACTTGTAGAGTGATGAAGGGGACAATTCTGAAACTGTCCCCACAGCCAAATGCACGTCACAGGTTGACACCAAGGACTCAGCTGAGAGCAAGCGGGGGCGGAAAGGGCATCTCTTTTGAATCCAGACTTGTCTGTGGTCTGGGGCTCTCACTTCACAATTTCCCTCGCGTTACAGGGGTCAGCGGGATGGGAGGAAAGCAGGGACAACCTTGAAACGACCTCAGAGTCAAGGCAGGAAGGGGAGGACGCCCGAAGTCACCCCTGCTCCCCAGCTTCCGGGCCACCGGGCCGGGCCCAGGATGCCGGAGGGGACCCCTGGAGCCCTCTCCTGGCACCAGCCTCACCTGGGTTTGGGAAGGCCTGAAGGCGGAGTCAAAGCCGCTCTGCAGGGAGTCGAGGAAGGGCTGGACCTTGTAGAGGCCGTGCGTGGTCTGGCTGGAGCGGAAGGCCACCACGTGGAAGTACTTGAGGATCTTCTCGAAGCGGGCCTGGCTCATGACGAGCGCGAGGCTCCTGTTGCTGTAGAAGCCGCCGCTCCAGATGCTGAGGACCGACTCACAGTGGGAGATGCTGGTGGAGATCATGTAGCCCAGGAACGCCTTCATCTCCGCCAGCGTCACCTCCGCCCAGGCGCCGTCGCTGCCGAAGCGCTCCTGGAACTTCTTGGCATACATGTTCGTCTGCACCACCATGTTCTTGAGGACGTTGTCGGGGACAAAGAGCTGGAAGAAGTCCATGGCGCTGGCGCTGGGGGGCATCTTTCGGGTGGGACCTAAAACAGAGACAGGCCAAGCGCTTATTGCTACAATGTCACACCCCGGCCAGGATGGGGACATGCTCCCGTGGCTGTGCCTCTGCGCACGTGCCGCCCCTCCCGACACCCTTGGTGGGGGCAGGGGACTCGGACGTCCCGCCCCAAAGCTCCCCTGCTCCCCGGGTTCCCAGTCCCCTGGGTCCTCACACCATCTGGGGCCCCTCTTTACTGTGCACACACCCCTTTCTCCCAACTCTGGCCAATGCAGAAATACCCAAGGAGCGAGGGACAGTGTGGGGGAGGGAGTTAGAGACGCCAAGCCTACGGAATTCTTAACACAGGAGCTTGGCCGTGGCCCCGCATTTGTTTTCTTGTGAGTGAAGGCGGCTCTGTAATTGAGAACCTTCCCACCACTCGAGGCCCAAAAAATGCCATCGAGGTGGGACGGCGGTTTTTATGAGGCAGTCTGTACATGCTGACTTTGAATTTATTAGTGAAGAAATCCGAAGGGGCTAGTCTAGATCATTTCACCAATGCAATCAAAGCCTCACCATTTTCAATTGATGCAGGGACGGTCTTTTGAAGTATACACAGATATACGTGTGTATACACACACGCGTAATGCTTAACATCGTTCGTGTGGATATATTCACGTTCATCTACACAGTCCTTTTTAAAAAACTAATTTGAGAGAGAGAGATGCAGGGACGGAGGAAGAAGAGAGACAACCATCATTGTTGTTCTGCCTATTCATGCATTCACTGATTCTGGCACGTGCACCAACTGGGAATTAAACCCGCAACCTTGGTGCAGTGGGACGACGCTCCAACCAGCTGAGCCACCTGGCCAGGGCCGTAAGTATAGCTTAAAGAGCTACAGCTTTCGACGCCACGGAGCGACTTTATGCTGGCTGGCAGTGTGCAGGGATCTGCGGGAGACACGCTTTGCCTCTGCTGCACCCACGCAGTGGTGCCCGCTAAACGCTGGGCGTGCTCTTCAGAATTTCGCTCCCTTTCCCACAACCTCTCTCTGCTACTGACGGAGGCAGCCTCTGAAAACCAAGCTTCCCTCACCAAAACGAAGACTGACAAACGGGGACGTAAGGCACAGCAGTCAGTAACGCTGGAATCCCTACGTCCGGTGCCCGGCGGGAACTAGACTTCCGGGGAAGCTCACAGAGGTACATAAACGTCTAACCGCTACGCTGTACACCTGAAACTAGTATAATGTTGAGTGCCAACTACGACTGAAAATTTTTTTTAGAATTTAAAAGACTGACAACGCACACAAGACACCCAGGTTTTAGATTCAGATATGGATTTGGAGAGTTGAAACCCCCCATTTGCTTCTAGCTAACCACACAGTCTTAGACAAAGTTCCTGGCCTCCCCACTGTAAACGGGCACCGTAAGACCCGCTTCGCAAGGCGGCGTGCGGGGCGGAAGGAGTGGGGGACGCGTGGGCCCACCCAGCAGAGCGCCTGTCCCCAGCAGGTACCGGAGCCTGGGAACTTTCACTGGGACATTGGAAAAGCCGACAGACGGCTGGGCTGTGGGCATCAGAATGCTCCGATTGCTCTCATTTTGCAGAAGAAGAAACTGAGGTCCAGCGAGCAACGTCACCATCCTGTTTGCTTTCATGGGTCATTTTTTTCCACTGGGGCCCCCGTGGTCTCGGAGGAGGGGGCCCCAGGTGGTAGGACAGTGAGGTCGGAGAGAGAGGGGCCCCGTGAGCAAGGACAGCCCGAAGCGCCACACCCACCCTTCCTGAAAGTCATTTTCTTTCAGCAAAGCCCTGCAGCCTCAGGTGGGCGAAGCCATCAGTTATTCCCAGGTAGCTCGCAAAGAGGAGGAAAACCAGCATTTTAATCGCTACATTGTGCTGAGTAAGCAGAATGCAATTTTCTCTTCCAAAAATTATTTTCAAAGTAATTTTGCCTCCCAGGCCATTTCAAAATGAATTCCCCCATCAAAGTCTGGCCTGGCCAACTGCTTAATGAAGCAAGCGGACGGACCTGGCTCCTGTTATCCGTTCCGTTCTGATTTATAAGCATCGACCGTGGCTGCTCGTGGAAGGGGAGGCAGGGATCGCCCGCTCCCTCAGGCCCAGGGCGGCGCTGAGCGCGGTGCGACCGTGCGCAGCTCTCCCCAAAAGATTCCCCCACCCCAAGCTAGGAAACCGACCCCCTCTTTCCAGTGGTGACCAGAAATGCAGAAGTTGTTTAGAAGCGGGGTTATAGGAGGGAAGGGCGTCTGCAAAGCCAAGCAGGGTGGGCGTGCTGAGTCTGGGGTGGGGACTGCCTGCGAATTCAGACCACTCAAAGGATGGGCGGGCCGTGGGCTGGGGGTGGGGGCACATCCCAGACCACCGGGCCCAGGCTTGGATGAGCTGGGTCCAGATCTAGTTCTGTCCTGGTTCCTCCATCCTTCCCTTTCTGAACTGGGGGCGACCACTTAAGGACGACTCTTGGCCCTTTCTCATCGTCTGATACTTCCGTTTCCGCCCTGTGCAGGTGGCTGGTTGTGTGGGCCTGGCCGGGCCATGTGGCCTCTGTGCTCCACGGTGCCCTCCCCTCCCAAACAGAAGGATCTCCACAGAGGGGGTGCATGTCGCAGGAGCTCGCACACAGGTGACATCACACTGGCGACGGCCTGTCCGGTGGCCCACTCGGGCGTCAGCTCCTGAGGGAGCCGCTCCTTCCACTCCACCCACTTTGCGACCACAGGCCTGGAGACGGGGGCCACCCATGTGTGCTGGGGACCCCCACCCCCACCCCCCTCCTGGAAGAACAGGGTGGCTTTGTGTGCTTCCCAAAGCGCATCTTTCAGAGATGGAAACATTCATTTTGAGATGAAAACGGCATTTTGAGGCTACACTGGCATGTTTTGTTCCACATCATCAGCAGTTTTGTGACATAGATGTGGACCATTTAATATTTTGAATTACAGGTTTAAAATTATGAAATAATTTATCTTCAGACTAAATTGAATAGGTATAAAAATATAACAGGAATGTCCTGCACCACCACAAAAATATTCCTCTTATCTGAAGCATCGGAAATTACATTCCATAAAAGGGCAATAAGGAAAATGGCCGAACCATTCTTCTCTGCGCCAGCTGCGGCTAGTCTTTGCCTCTCACTAAACTAATCATTTCTCTCGCATTCTTTCTTTCCTCCTTCCAGGGGCTGATCTGCAGAAAAAGCACATCTGTGTGACAAAAACCCGAGGTCCCAGTCTCAGGTGTAGAATTCAGCCCCTTAGCCAAAGCTCTGAAAGCTCTTTCCCTGTTTAGCCTCTTCCCTCCAAGCAGCGGGGCTGGCAACGCACTCGACTTGCAGCCAGCCAGGGAGCCACAGGCCTGCGTCCGGATCATGGTCCTGACACCCGCGGGGCCCTGCCCGTCACCTGTGTGGCCATCTGGGGCAGCTCACGCCACCTCACCCGGCAGCTGCGAGCGGCGTCAAGGCCGCCCTCTAGGTGGTGCACCAAAATTAGGTTCAGATCAGGCTTCGTCCTCTAAATCAGGGGTCCCAACCCCAGGCTGGTGCAGGTCAGCAGCCCGTTAGGAACGGAGCCGCACAGCAGCAGGTGAGGAGCAGGCTTTGCTGGTATCACCCTCTGAGCTCCGCCTCCTGCCCACCCCCTCCCTCGTCCCGTCGAAAAATTGTCTTCCATGAAACTGGTCCCTGATGCCAAAAAGGTTGGGGGCCGCTGCTCTAAATGGTGCCTTCCAACAGAGCCATTGCCCAGAGCTCTTAGGAAATACACAGAAACCTGGCCAGGGAGCCCCAAGCACAGCCTCAGCTCCATGATGTCGCAGCTGCAGGGCCTCCTTCTTAGGAATGCATCACGGTAACCTCTGTGTGTGTGTGTGTGCGCGCGCATGTGTGTGGTCTTCCTCCAGCTAATGCAACGCAGTTGTTGGCAATGAAGTAACTGTGGATCAGCCACCTGAGTTGATGTCGTTCATAGGAAACACAGACCATAGAGTAACTTGTTGGCTAATGAAGACATGAAATCTATAATCCTGACTAGATGTCATATGACAAAGAGCTGGTGCAGAGAAGGGATCACCTGCCCACCAGCGGGACACATCAAAACTTCTGAAGAGAGTCACCTTTAAAAACTCTTGTCCCGTCCCCTCCGCCCGGACCAGGCGCGCCCACTAAGACACTCCACCAAAACCAGATGCTCCACTCTTCCCCAGCCCGGAGCTACAGCAAACGCAGCAGGAGGGCAGAGCGTTCAGCCTGAGAGGTGGGCGTACAGCTCTAGTGCCTCCCCCTTACGCAGTTTCGCTTTCTGTGGTCTGAGAGAGTACATGGAAAATGCCGGAAATAAACAATTTATGAGCTTCAAATGGTGCGGTTCTGAGTGCCGTGGTGGCGTCTCCCGCCGTCCCGCCGCGTCCCGCCCAGGATGTGAGCGCCCCCTTTGTCCGTCGCGTCCGCAGTGCAGACGCTCCCCGTCCGATCACCACTCGGCGGCCACCTCGGTTTCAGGTGGACGGCGGCATCGTTCTGCTTGCATTCAAGTCACTGTTCCTCTGCTTCACCATGGCCCCAACGTGTAACACCAAAGAGAAGCCATCAAGAATAGGGGGAAAAAACCAGTACACACAGGATGCAGTGCCACCCGTGGTTTCAGGCACCCACTAGGGGTCTCAGGACGTATCCCCAGCGGATACAGGGCGGCGGGGGCGGGGGGGGAACAGACGGACGAGGGTTCCTGCAGCTGGGTTGGGGGTGGGCGAGAGCTGGTTCCATTCCTGGTCCCTTTATTGTCTAACGGAACCTCTGCAAAGCTGCGGTTTTTCTGGATCTCAGCTTTTCCCTGGTAACTTGCCTCATCTCCCTTCCAAGACTAATGCAGCCATTAGACAATGGTGTAAGCATTTTCAGAATGTAAATAATTATAGGACACTCAGAATCTCATGTTATGATTCTGAAATAGTTGCTGTCCAGCCAAGTTGAGGACCTGGACGGGTTCCGGCTCCATGAGTCATGCAGTGGTGACC